CTCCCCCGAGATCACGTGACCCCCCCCCCCCTCCGGGGTCACGTGACTATTCTCAGGTGACGTAACCCCCCTCAGTACCCTTCCGTACTCCTCCTCAAGAGCTGCGCTCCAATTCGGCGTTACAGGGATTTGTAAACGGCTTTCATAATTGGTTAAATTGATACCAATAAATTCAAACCCCCACGTTTGTGCGGGTTCGTTAGGAGTATCAAAAATAGAAAAGTTTGAGTTTGAAGTTCCAGATATAAATAATACTTGGGAAACTCAGTGAACCGAAGTCGCTAAAAAAAGTTACAGATCTACAATCCATTTTTTTTTGGGGGGGGGGGGGATAGGTAATGAATGAATGAATGCATGAATGAATGTTTATTTTTTCCGGAATCAACCGAAATGGAGAGAGGGACTAAAGGCTCGAAGCCTGACAAAAATCTCTGTCCCCAAAGCAGCGCTTTCCAGCAGCACACAGATTACAAAGTTAACGCTTAGTAATAAACATTATATTAATTTTTTGAATATACCAGAAAAACAACTAGTTATTAAATACAAAATCAAATAATAAGGGGTTATCTTTGCCCACCTTGAGTGTCCTGAGATCCCTTTTAAATTCACTAAAATTGTTAATAAAATCTATGTGGTCTTTAATGTTATTCAGAGCTTTACTGACTTGATATTCCATTGTTTGTGTTCCATAATTTATACGGGTCTGAGGGGGCCATGCGTGTCCAAGAGGGTATGCATGCGTTACGTCACTTAAACCCGTCACATATAATTTTTGTCTGTGAATCAGTTGTAATAATTGAAAATAACATATCTGATTGACCTTAAGAATTCCGTGTTTTTTTAAAAGGTGGTGCAGTGCACAGGTCTTGTATTTTACCCTAATAATTTTCAAATAACGCAGCATCTTTTTCTGCAGTGTGAGCAACGAGTTATAGTTTGTGGTTGATGTCGTGCCCCACACTAGAAGACAATAACAGAGCCTAGAGTAAAAGAGCAAATAATATAAGTTTTTCTTTTGCCATGTTGCTATAAGGTTCCCTATTTTATATAGACATCCAACCGACCGTGAAAGCTCGGTACTTAATTTATTCACGTGTGTGTTCCAACTTAGCTCTTGATTAATCCAAACTCCCAAAACGTTTTGTTCGTGGACTTGTTCTATAATTTCGTCTTAAAAATGTATAACTAAGTAGGTATTGTCGCGTTTGTTTTTAGGTGCAAATAGTATATACTTCGTTTTTTTGTATTTAAATTCAGCTTGTTTGCTTGAAGCCATGTAGCTAGATCGGCAAGATAGCTTTTTGTCAATAGTTCTAACTGGGCTTTGGATGAGTCTGCGAAAAATACGCAGGTGTCATCCGCATACATAATAAGCTCATGAGATCCCGTGATTGCTGTAATGTCGTATATATGTAGAAGAAACAGAAGGGGACCTAAGATCGAACCTTGTGGGACTCCGCATTTGATTTCCATTGTACTTGAGACAATGTTATTCATTTTAACAAATTGAAATCGATTTTCAAGATAATTTTTTATGAGAGCCAAAACTTGATACTAGAACCTTTACTAAATTGACACTAGAAACTTTACTAAAATGTCCAGTGATTAGGAGCGGACTGCGGCGTAGTAAAAATTTGCTAAACACTCCAAGAAACATCGCTGAAATAGCATGCGAAATATTAGGTCAAAATATTTACGTTTTCGCCAAGTTATTAAATTTACACTTTTGGTCCTCGTCGTGTTTTTCAAACTGAAAATCTTTACTGACCACAACCAAAAAATCTATTTGTTCTTAGCCCGAGACTGAGGCAGGAAAAGAGGAAAGTTTCAAAGTAGAAGAAAAATTAACAGTCGAGGACACGTCTCTAACACAGCCAGATAGCTTTTTGTCAATAGTTCTAAGTGGGCTTTGGATGAGTCTGCAAAAAATACGCTGGTGTTATCCGCATACATAATAATCTGTGTTAGGGACGTGACCTCGACTGTTCGTTTTTCTTCTACTTTTAAACTTTCCTATTCTCCTGCCTCAGTCTCGGGCTAAGAACAAAATTGTTAGCATCTACCAGCTCGCCTGCGCAATCACTACATTATCATCAACCAAAAAATGACGCCAGCAGAAGACAAGGGTTGGTTCTTTGGACTGTATAATTTGTTCCCAACTGATTCCAAGCAGTTTTGTAGTGTCTAATTAATGTTTTAGAAGCTTGCCTCAATACCCGTCCGCCACCACGAAAAAAAAATGGTTGGGTCAGTATGGTTTCCTTCTTATTTTCATTTGCAGATTTCACAATAACTATTATAAACTTCGCGATACTAAGTACCATACCGGAAAGGGCAAAGGCTGAAGATTCAGAGAATATAGTTGGGGTAGATAAAATCGCCGGAGTACTCCTTTAGTCAAGCTTTCATGCACCAAAAAGGCCTTCACAGGTTTTTTTCCGAATTTTCGTAGAGAAAATGTCTCATCTCATTAATTCCAAGCTCTCGTAGAGTGCACCCCATTTTCTGTTTGCATGTCCACTTTGTTCAATAGGCCCTTGAATGAGCGCCTTCACACATGTTGCACAATAAGCTCACGTATTCTTGCAAAACCAAGGTTAGAGCTTGGTTCGTGTCCATGCGGGAAATCGACAAATCGGAACACTGACCTCTGTGCTAATTGCGGCAGAACAAGCAGTGCTCCCTGCAGCGTTTCGGCGGAGAGTCACCCCAAACCTGAAAATGCGGTGGGAGCTACGAGCTCGCCGGGCCGACCATCCGCCTCCCTTTCATTACTCGACCCTGCTCTCTGTGCGGGGGTATGGACGAGGGTGTGATCACGCGGTGGATGGTCGACTTATCAATACTCAGAAATAGGGAGTTTAGTACTTAGTCTACTGACGTACAACTCACGATACCAACTTTTACGAGCGGGTTGTTAGCTGTGTGATTTAACACACCAAACAGCTAATGTACGTACGTACCGAAATGTAGAGAAAAAAAAACTTTACTGTTTTCTTGTAGTATTTGATGTCTACATTAGCTATTTAATAAGTTGTATCACTCGACTATCAACTGCTCGTGAAAGTTGGTATGATCGGTGACTCAGGGATGGCCGTAATGACCTTACTGTAATGAAATTACGCAATTAAATTATATTTCGTTGTAATGAGTAATGTAATGCATTACTTCTCTAGGATGGTAACTTAGTAATGTAATGAACTACTTTCAGGCAGTTTCGAGAAAATTACTCATCGCTTTTATAATTAATTTTGTGCCAAATGAAAATGTTGGTTTGCCAGTTTTAGAGAAAAAATATTTTGGATGGTGAAATGTCGTCAAAGAGACATCAGATCAAATAAAGGACGGCTATTTGAGCGCAAATCCTCGTACGAAGAACTTGACAGACGCACAAAATTGGGCTGAAAAGGCGAAGGAGAAAAGCTCAAGTGTAAATTCACTGCTCGAGGGCACTAACTCCAGGCAAGGGATATTCACGTCATCGTGACGATACTATACTTCGTTCGCCACTAAGCTGTCAGTGTGGTAGAAGCTACGAGCTCACCAGAGCCAGTCAACCACATTCCTTGCATCCCCTGACCCGTCCCTTTCTCTGCGCGTGGGTATAAACGAGAGCGTGGTTACGCGGCGAAAGATAGATGTGTGACTGTTCCAACGAGCACGTAGCTGCTACCGCAATGTCAGCTTAGGGAGACTGGTTTATAGGCTACTACAACACGCAGATCACATCACCAGTGTGGTCAGCACATTTTAAAACCTGAGAGGTCAAGACAAACAGATACCCAGTTTTCTTGCTCTTTCGTTAAGCAAGATCAAACCGTAAGCTTCGACTATTGTGAACAACAAACGACTGGAATGAACTGTTAATACCAAATGCCTTGTCAAGGGCCCAGTATGTTTCATGTGTATCCTTGACAGTAAAAATGATTTTTGTAGTCGGAAAAGACGAGAACTCAGCAAAGCAGATGCCTTTTGTGATAGGCCTCGCTGCCTTTCCTTGGGAAGTTTATTAAGGAATAAGCCTACGAGCCGATATCGCCACCCGTCGGTTGGGAAATTAGACATTTTAGAAAATTCGCGCCGCCTCTTCCTCAACTGCCGACGCTTCTGCCTGGCAAACATCCAGCCCCCTTGTGGGACAGCGCAGAATAGCTTGGGCTCTTCGAATGTTTGCGAACAATACTTCTTGAAAAGGATGGCCGGGAATACGTCAACTAGTGCTCTTGGGAGAATAGGATTGGATTGTGTCCGAGGCGAAAGGGAAACGTTTCCCGTTTCCTTTCCTCCATATAACTTCTTAAAAAAAAAAAAATTGAAACTGTCCTTTTTTTTTAACTAAGGATCTTCACCATTGAATGAACAGCGAAACCGATGAGTCGACTCTCTGAGTCACATCTAAAGAAGAAACTGCTAATCATGTTTAACATTTATGTAGTGCGCGCCTGCAAAACAACTGTTTTTAGGTATGGCTCACGTTGAGGCGCATAAGGATGTTGCGGTGTAAACAGGAAGAGCTGACTTTTGTTAGATATACTGTAAATATAATTAGCACACATTTCTGCCTCGAAGTATTAAAAGTAATGCCAAAGTAATTTCACTACTTTTAGATTGTAATTGTAATGAAATGTCATTACTTTTAGTTTGCGGTAATGTGTAATGTAATTCAGTTAAATTTTTGCAGTTTTCTGAAAAGTAATAAGTAACATAATTGAATTACTTTTTGATAGCAGTTTTGCAATTTCTGGATCGGTTCGACGTCAGTGCACTGAACGTCGAATTGTAGCTGTGGGGGTGTTGTGTATGGAACAAGCGCTCTAAATACTAGTGAGATCCAACGATCACTGAACCTTTATCGCAATCGCTGTCAGCTTAGGGATGAACCGAGACTTCTGCTGTCGACTGTTTTGAAAGTGTCCGAACCAGTACCGTCGTCGACCACAGGTTCCGGTGGCCTATGCGACAAGCTCAAGTGGAGGAGGTCAAAGGAAGGCCTCGTAAAAATGGCCCTAAACACGGGCATCATCACCTTCCTTAACCACAGAAGGCAGGTGCCAGCCGGAGTCAGCGAGGTCACTTTCGCCCACGAGATGGGCCACAATTTTGGCTCTGAGGTAGGCCCGGCGTTCAACTTTTATACGAAATTTTGAGTTCAATTTTGAGGGAAACGAAATCTAGATGGCAAGACAAGATTACAATAGCATATATCACTCGCCAGCTTAATACCACGTGCTCTGCTTTTAGTTTAGATGTTAGCAGTACTAAAGTCAGTCATTAAAAAAAAAAGTCGCCCCTTTGCCGTGCCTATAAAGTGGGAAACGCAGTCATAGCACAGAATGTGACGCGTTATTGTCTGTACACATGGGGGTACAGGATGGCGCGGAGCGGCCGTGTGTCGTGCAAGGGAAACGCGTGAGCGCTCGGCGGATGTCTTACTTGCGGGTGCCATCCTTGGAGGTTGCAATGAAAACGCGACTTTTTCATAGCCTGTTGGAGTGTGAGACGCACTAGACGGAGCGTGCGGAAAACTGAATAATGTACCGATATGACCATTCAGTTTGGCTACGCTACCGATGCCGCGATGCATCGAGGAAACTTCGGTATTTCTGCATGTGCGACAACCTCTCTGGAGCTCTGCGCGTCCGGGGCACGAGACCCCAGGGGCCGTCTTATGTCACCGCCGCCTGCCTGTTGTCAAACTCGCCTGCTCTTCACTAAAGTGACGACGGCGTCAAGCTTGCGTTTAATGCTTGCTGAGATCGGTCTCAGTCTTTTGAAGGGTGGCAGCGCCGAGCAGGGCCCCGGCAGAAACTCGCGGCAAAAAAGAACCGAATACCTCAATTCTTTGCCGCAAAGCAGTCAGCAGTTTTTTTTTTTTTTTCTGGGCTTTTCTCGTTTTTTTGTTTTTTTCGCGTTCTTTTTGTTTGGAAGCCCGGAGCGCCCTCATTTCATGACGCAGAGCCTAATGTCCGAACACGTGCATGGGTGTTGCTCCTCTGCAAGGAGTAAACACCCAGGCACTCCAGGAAAAGGTTCGGCTAGCACTGGTGTCCAATAGGTCAGGAAACGGGCGCTGCGCCCGCGTTCGCGGCTAGCAGTCGATCTGCCTACCTCCGTTGCTGGCAGCTAACCTGATTGGCTAGGTGCGACCCATATAACACATCCTGTGTTAGCAAAAAAGGATACGTTACTCATGCTACTTTTTACGCAAATAAAGGTTCTTTGAAACTATAAGGTTCACGACAAAACCACCTGCTCTCCTAGCAGTGCGATGCAGCAGCGCTATCGAAACTACACTGGCGTTGACAGCGAAGGACAAAAATATCGGCTGCGTATATAGTGGTTTTAATTACCTCCTCTCAGTAATAAAAAGAAACATTAACCGCTGCATAGTTTCACTATGCCGCATAAATTTCCGTAGAACTACGGCCTCAGGAGAAAAAAACGTCCACCGTCTACTGCCGCATCACGATGTCGGATGCGCAAGAAGCGAAAGCCATTTTCTTTGGAGTTCAAGGAAAATGAGCGGTAGCCCGGCACCGTCATCTCCAAGGCGCATGTGCGGAATCGCGTCCGATTCTTTTTAACGCTTCGCCGATTCGCGCGAGAGAGTCACATGAATTGGCCGCGCCGCAGAGCACGCGAGCTCGACCGCTCAGCCGCTGTCCAGAGTCGCCGCGCGGCTCTGGATAAAGTGCACCGGCGCCTGTTTCCTTTTTTTGCATTGTTCGTCTAATTTTATTTCGATGAGAATTTATATTATTATGTTTAAGAATAATATTAATTATGTGTTTTAGGTTTCAAATCCTTCTGTATGAGAGTACCGACCGTTATTTGGTGTAATTGATCCAGGGTTGGGCAGTATCGCGATACAAATGTATCGCGACAGTATTTCAGAAATACATTTCGTATCTGTATTTCTGTATCGCGATACATTTATTTGACCAGTACCTATCATCCTGTGTCGAAATACATTTGGAATGTTTCTGTATATCGCGATACAATCAGGATGAAATATATTTTGTTACATTTCTTGGGAAATACCCACCCCCGGAAAAATATCCCCCCCCCCCCCCCCCCCGTAAAAAAAAAAATTTCAACGCATTTTTTTTTCTTTTTAGGGCACCAGGGTCAAGAAGATGCTGGGGCATTGTTACTATGGGGACCAAGGTTACTTCTGATTCTCCATACTATTTTTCTATGCGTCCTTCTCTCTCTTATAAAGAGTGTTGCTTAATCGGGGACTCGAACCAGGTGGCGTGCCAGGAGTGGAGTCAGGGCATCTTCTGCCGCAGGTCCTTAGAGGGATTTCTTGAGTCATCGTTTGCTGGCATCCAATGTCGGCTTATAAACACCTATCTTGCCTTAGCGTATACAGTACACCCAGCCTGCAAAGCTGAGTCACAGTCCGTTGCAGCACGAGCTTGGCGGTGGTTGACTTAAAATAAGAGGATGACTCACGCAGTGAAGTTCAACACATATTCGAATCCGTCTGCAGCCGACGTGAGCGTGACCCGTTGCTCTGGTGATTTGAAACCCAGGAAGGAGTCCAAACCTGAGCTGGCTGTGCCGACTCAGGCTTCGTACACATGCGACTCGTCTCGAGCGCGCTGCTCGCACCTGTGCCGGCAATATCAGGTCGCAATCCACGAGGTCTCTGTTTGGATGATGCTATGCGAAACTTCGACTGCAATCTATGCGTCGGTGGCGGAGGGTCGGCAGGAAGGACCTTCACAACAGGGATGCCACCGTATCGTTTTTTTCAACCATAACAGAAGATAAGACATGCGTTCGGAGATGCTTCAGGTAGCCCACTTTTCTCGAAAATTTTAAATGACAATGCCGGCACGATCTTCCACGAGGTAACCTACAACGAAAGTACGTATTGTCCTTTAATACGGCAGCGTGGTAAAGTTCCATGTTCAAGTCCACACCTGCAGCTAAAGAACACCAGTTCTTTCCACCTTGGCGTCATGTGATCAATGTTCACAGGGGCTTCCCTATTGGACAGGGACGTACTGACGTTTTCACGGGATTTAGGGTGGCACAGGATTTATTTAGAGGTCGAAGTCTTTTCGCATCCCTCGTCAGACAGACAGGATGTCAGGGAAGAAACCGTGGTCAGTCTTTGATGAAACTTTTTTTTTTGAGCCCATTGAAGACTCCTCGTCGTCCGAAACTTTTTTTTTGTATTTGTATTTCTGTCCTCCCTAAAATGTATTCCTGTATTTGCATTTCCGAAGACTTTTTGCCTCTATTTAATATGTATTTCCGATACGTATCGCGATACACTTTTACATGTAAATTTCAGTATCAGTATATTAGCTACTATTTTAATGTATCCCAGTATTTGTATTTCCAAATACATTTTTGAGTATTTCTGCCCAACCCTGCAGTGATCTCACTCACTACGGCTATCTTGCGTAAGGAGAGTGGTCTCTAGAATATCTATGTGCCTGGTTAAACCGCTTTTGTTTTCTGTTTATGTCTTTCTAATCTATGTGCCTGTTTAAGAGTTAATTCTTGTTTAAATGTCTATGTGCCTGTTCAAGTGTTAATATTTTTTTTCTTTTTGTGTTTCCTATTACACTGCACTGCTGAGCGATATACAAGGGTGGTGTGGCCTAGTCAGATAAAGCTTGTTTAGCTTCCTTTTTTCTCCTCACCCGTGAATCAAGAAGTCCAAAGAGAGATTACAATGAGAGAAGATTGCAGAATCATAGCTGCCGGAGCGGCGTCTGTCGCAGTCTGAAGCAGACAGGAGGACGTCGCGTTGAAGCGAGCAAAAGAGCAAGCCAGCAGATAACAAAGACGCGCGTGAGCACGCACTCTAAATCTCGTTCCACTTAGGTTATGTTAGTAAATGGAACGTCTTTGTAAAAACGTTTCGCTTAAGGAAGTAATACCATGTTCTATATATTTCGTAGTTTATACAGAAGAGTGTTCCAGATAATTTACACGGTAGTACATAAAACAATGTTCCACATATTGGCATCTGGAAAGCTGTTCAGCGTACATTTTCTAGAACGTTATGCGAAAGGGTGTTCCACATGTCTGCATCTAAGACATGGTTCCAGGCAAAATGACTGGATGTATCTGGAATATTGTATCATATAAAGCAGGTCAGGAACTCTCCAAAACGTTGTCTCTAATATTTTTTTTTCAAGCCATACTGGTTTGTGCTGCTGTGGAATTTACTTTGTTCAAGCTTTTCCCACAAATGAAGTAAACTCCTCATGATGTCTATTGATTAATGTTTGTATGATAAATTCAATGACGTACTATATTTTACACCTTGTTATTGCTCCCAAAGGTCTATATTGGTAATGTGTCATTTGGGTTTGTTTTAATATTACTAATCAATAAGTCGTGAATTCTGTTGCTTTATTGTGTGATGTACTGTGAGTTCCGATTTATTGTGACCCAGTAGGCTGTACTAACAGAAATGCTTTGCCCCGACAGCCTCCACTTTCTCTAGTCGATGACAGATTAAGGAATCAAGGTGAGTCCTTCACACTTTAGCAAAGGGAATGCTGAAGAAGGGGTCACCTGCTGCCCAGTGTTCTCTCAGCTAAAGTGAGGAGGTGGCAGGAGCTTCCCCTGAGCTCTTAACCTGTCACCGACGATAGAGAATGGTTTACAAGTTTCTGTTAGCACAGCCTCCACGGTCGAAATAAATTGAATTCGCAGTACACAGAATTAAACCAACTGGATTCACGACTTCCATTGATCAGTGTTATTGCGACAAATCCAAGTGAGACAGTACAACTACGGACCTCTGGTGGCAATAACCAGGTGTACAATATAGTATGCCATTTTAAATTTTTCATACAAGCATTAACCTATAGACATCATGAGGAGTTCCTTCGTTTTTGTGACGAGCTCGAAGAGAGTAAATGCCGCAACAGCACTAAGTAGTGTAGAAGTGATATCCTTAAAACCTCCATGGTGTTTGTGATATTTATAATGACATTTTAAAATTGCACACAAACAATCGGTGCAAGCAACAAAAAATGGTGATGATCTGGTCGTGTCGAAGTGCTATTTAAGAAAACTAAAACATCTGGTTTACAGGCAAAAATTGCGATACCATGAACAATGTCGGCTGCATGTG